ATCGAAAAATCGAATCGAAAAGAATCGAAAAGAATCGAAAAGAATCGAAAAGAATCGAAAAGAATCGAAAAGAATCGAAAAGAATCGAAAAGAATCGAAAAGAATCGAAAAGAATCGAAAAGAATCGAAAAGAATCGAAAAGAATCGAAAAGAATCGAAAAGAATCGAAAAGAATCGAAAAGAATCGAAAAGAATCGAAAAGAATCGAAAAGAATCGAAAAGAAAAAGAATCGAAAAGAATCGAAAAGAATCGAAAAGAATCGAAAAGAATCGAAAAGAATCGAAAAGAATCGAAAAGAATCGAAAAGAATCGAAAAGAATCGAAAAGAATCGAAAAGAATCGAAAAGAATCGAAAAGAATCGAAAAGAATCGAAAAGAATCGAAAAGAATCGAAAAGAATCGAAAAGAATCGAAAAGAATCGAAAAGAATCGAAAAGAATCGAAAAGAATCGAAAAGAATCGAAAAGAATCGAAAAGAATCGAAAAGAATCGAAAAGAATCGAAAAGAATCGAAAAGAATCGAAAAGAATCGAAAAGAATCGAAAAGAATCGAAAAGAATCGAAAAGAATCGAAAAGAATCGAAAAGAATCGAAAAGAATCGAAAAGAATCGAAAAGAATCGAAAAGAATCGAAAAGAATCGAAAAGAATCGAAAAGAATCGAAAAGAATCGAAAAGAATCGAAAAGAATCGAAAAGAATCGAAAAGAATCGAAAAGAATCGAAAAGAATCGAAAAGAATCGAAAAGAATCGAAAAGAATCGAAAAGAATCGAAAAGAATCGAAAAGAATCGAAAAGAATCGAAAAGAATCGAAAAGAATCGAAAAGAATCGAAAAGAATCGAAAAGAATCGAAAAGAATCGAAAAGAATCGAAAAGAATCGAAAAGAATCGAAAAGAATCGAAAAGAAATCGAAAAGAATCGAAAAGAATCGAAAAGAATCGAAAAGAATCGAAAAGAATCGAAAAGAATCGAAAAGAATCGAAAAGAATCGAAAAGAATCGAAAAGAATCGAAAAATCGAATCGAAAAGAATCGAAAAGAATCGAAAAGAATCGAAAAGAATCGAAAAGAATCGAAAAGAATCGAAAAGAATCGAAAAGAATCGAAAAGAATCGAAAAGAATCGAAAAGAATCGAAAAGAATCGAAAAGAATCGAAAAGAATCGAAAAGAATCGAAAAAGAATCGAAAAGAATCGAAAAGAATCGAAAAGAATCGAAAAGAATCGAAAAGAATCGAAAAGAATCGAAAAGAATCGAAAAGAATCGAAAAGAATCGAAAAGAATCGAAAAGAATCGAAAAGAATCGAAAAGAATCGAAAAGAATCGAAAAGAATTGAAAAGAATCGAAAAGAAAAGAATCGAAAAGAATCGAAAAGAAGCATAAATGCTGTTAATTTAAAATTTTTGCTTATGTCGATATTTCTTCTGGTACGTAGCATGGCCCTCAGCATCGAATGTAAACTCCACAACGAAGAAGATTTCAGCGTTTCTGATTTTTTTGACAAATATGCCAATAACACATCCTCACAAATGCTTATTACCTTCTTTTCCAGGCACCACTTTTCAAAAATTTGGTATGTTTTTTCATATCGTGTCCGGGACTTCGACGGTAATAAATCAAACGTTGCTTGGGTGGCCGCCTTAACAATTTCATCTGGTATAATTTTATCTTCCATTAATTCACAATCAAATGCATCATTTTGAATGTCCATTTTATAATAAATGTCACGTTTTCAACTAAATGTCAAAATATGTTTAAATAATACAAAACTCGGTTACTATAGAAACCAATTGACCGCTATCTTAGACTATTTTATTATTTTTTTCATTAAAGATAGGCCGGAAAGTAAATAAAAATGAGTCCGGTAAAAGCTTTTACCGGACTATCACAATAATTTTCTGGCTCGGTCCGACAAAATGAGATTTTCTGACCTAAAAATAAATCGGAAAGTACTAATTTCTGGCCTGTTTTAAAAAAAGTGAATTTACATTATCAAGTTATTTATATGTGATTTTAAAATAATGTGCTTTTATGAAATTTAACTGGGTGTTCACTGCACAAATAAACCAATGGAGAAACTTGTTCATATGTGTCTTGCCTTGGTCTGATCTTGTGCGTCTAATTAGTTCATAATCACTCTTACTAAATCACCAAAAAGCATTTTAAAGTCATGTTTCACAAAAAATGCCAATGAATCTAATTATATAGTTAATTGCTCAGAAACTTTTTTTTTATAACATAACCCCTTCAGCCACTTACCCCTTCAATTTTAAATTCAATTCAATTCAACTTCAATTTATTTAATAATACAGTAATTAGTCTACATTTTTTCATTATATAATAGTACAAACTGTTATATGTGACAATTCTATCAAAATAATTGTCTGTATATTTTTTAGTAATTGAGATTATTCCTAAATAAAAATGAGTAAATTTCCAAAAGATATTCGTATATATTAACAAATAAATCGTAAATTTTGATAAAACTATCTAAAACCAATTTAATTATAATTAAAAAAATCGTTGTCCGCTTAGTGCAAAGGTAGAGTTCTGATTTGCTAATCGAAGAATCCAAGATTAAGGACTAATTAAAATCTTTCTTTTTTTTAGTTTAATTTTATAAATTAGCAAAACCTTAATAACCCCTAATTTAATTTTTAGATTTTCATTAGTGGACCGTAAAAAATATACTGTACAACTCGAGGGGATTGTCCTTATCGCACTCGGACCTTGTCTTTGTGCGATTTGGCCATCTTTTCCACTCTTGTTGCACAAACTAATTGTAACTAATTCGGCTTTCATTATCATGTTTTAAAAAAAAAATATTACCTTTATTAAACTGTTCAAAATATACCTTTTATACACTAAAGTCCACAGAACAAATCTTGTCAACAACACTTTAGACTTGTAAACTATTAATAATAAAAGTTATAAATAAAAATAACAAAATACTTTCTAAATAATTTATAATCTTGCTTTTATCAAACTCTGGTTTGCCAAGAAATATAATTCTTATCATTAAGACACAACACAATATATACTTTCTGAAAGTGTAAATAATGGATTCCTAATAATGATCACTAAACTACTAATCGCAAATAAAAATACCACTACGAGAGTCATTCTGAAAGTTTTCAGATTCTGGAAAACACTGGAAAACATTGTGGAATTAATTAAATATCTATTTTATACAATTAAGACCTGACTAACTCTCTGGGGGTAATAGTACGTAAAAAAATAAGTTTACTTAATAAGAAGGTTGAAGGTTACCATTTTTCAGCGATATCTCAAAAACTTACAAATTGATTTAAATTAAATTTTGAGTATCATTTTCGAAAAATTATTTATCTGTGAATGGGTAAATTAGCGTTGAGGGGTTAATTATTTCCTTTTCTTTTTGTCTTATTTTCTAATTTTATGAAAGACAAAATTCAATTATTTTTGTCGTGATATAAGATGACTTCCGATGAGGAGAAAATAAGAAAAATGAAAAAGAAGATAGAAGAAATGGAGCATACAGAGAACAGGCCAAGGACGGTGAAATAAAGTGAAATAAGTTGTAAATTCTGCTTGTGTTAAAGCCCAAACTTTCGACGGAAAAATGTCATGGATCAACTATCTTAAACAGTTCGAAAGAGCTGCCAGAGCAAACGAATGGTCTAAACGAGAGAAGGCAGTAAATTTGATCATTGCATTTCGAGGAGATGCTTTAGATGTTCTTCAGACAATACTTTTGGAAGAGACGGATGATTTTGAACAACTCAAAAAGAAACTAAACATGCGATATGGCAACGAACACTTGGAGCATTTATACCAATCACAGTTAAAGAATCGCATACAGAAACGAGACGAGACTCTACAAGATTATGAAGTACATATTGCCAGGTTGGTGCGATTTGCCTACTCATCAGCTTCACAAAACAATATGGAATGTTTGACAATCCAAACATTTGTTGATGGACTCCGTGACCATGAGATGCAGAAAACTATCCGCTTAGCCCGTCACAAAACATTGCTCGATGTCTTGTCCGCTGCTCTAGAGTATGAGGCACTTACGCAGGCTTCTGGAGGAAACATAATGAAGACCTTTGCTGAGATAAAGACGAAAACCATCAGGTGCTGGAATTGCGGTGAACTGGAACATGTACACAGTTCGTACAAACGCCCTAGGGTCCCAACAACTAAAGACAACACGCCGCAGGAAAACTAGAGCGGGTCGGCCTAGAGGGGGCAGCCTCGACCCGAAACCGTTCTAAGGACCCTCTTATACTGATAGTACACACTGTTGGTAGATGCTAGAACAACTAGGACCATTATACGACCAACAATCATAAATAACCGCAAGAGACTTATACCAACAAGTTTGCGACTGCGAACTGCCACAGGTGAAAGGGCCAACATTCATAAGAAAATCCAGGTTCAATTAGGTGTTGGTACAGAAAAGTTCACTCACACTGTTACTGTTGCTGATATAGAAGTAGATATTATATTTGAAATGGATGTAATGAACTAACATGATATCCAGTTGGATTTTAAAAACAGAGTGATTAAAGTTGGTGCCAAAGAGGTATTCCTACATCCATATGGGGACAGTGCCGTATCAGTTGCTGTTCAGGAGGATACGGTAGTACCTGACAAAAGTGAAACCATTATAGTAGCACGGCTTCAAGAAAATATGGAAGAAGAAACACCTTAGTACACTACTTGTAAAAAGATCTGAACTTCATTTACGTCCACTCAGATCAATGGACAATTTTAATATTGATTTCACAAAAAAATCTTTTTTGATGGGCTCATTATTGCAGGAAGGGATTCGTCTTTTTAATGCGTTGCCTAAAAATATAAAAGATGCCCCAACTCTAGGTAGTTTTAAAAATATGATTAGTAATTATCTAGGTTTAGGTAACCTATAGTTTTAAGTTTAAATTGTAAATATTTGTTTATAACTAGCTGAAATCTAAATAAAGAATTTACTTACTTACTTACTTACTACTTACCTGTCATGAACGTCTTGGAACTACGATGAAGAGGTTGGACGAGGAATTCTAATCGAAAAGGGGTGGTCACGACTGCTAAAGAGATTCCAGTCCGTTTTATAAACTTTAATGTTCACCCAAATACCATCAAAAAAAAGAGAAGATACGAAACTTGTATACCCGTAACTTCCATAATTCGTCAGACAACGACAAATTCGAGCACATGATTGCAGTTGCTGGTCAATCTCTAAATCAATTAGAAAAAAAAAATAAAGGAATTTCTTCGACGATATCGTGACATTTTTTTTACCAAAAAAAGAAAAACAGGAAGAACTTCGTTGAATAATTTGACTGATGCCAATGTCAACTGACAATTGATGAAAACAATGATTATACATAAAAACTGATGGCAAACAAATACTTTATTTTTTTTGAGAAGAGAAAAATGTGGAAAGATACACCGCACTTAGACCGTGACGTATGTACTTAAATGTTTTAAATGAAAAACATTCTATTTTTAATGTTTATCAGACAGGCATGTTTCAATTTTTTACCGAAAAAAAGTAACTTCACAAAAAATGCTTCTCTTAAACTCAAGAATCTTTAATTGCAATGCATTATTTTTCTCTAAATAAAAAATACAGTAATTACTATTAAATTAAAAAAATTAAATTTTAACGATAGGGCATTGCAGGAAAATGGTTTTTATTTTTTTATGCGAAAACCATGCATTGAGCGATAAAGACCAAGAGACCAGATATGCTATAAAAGAAATAAAGAATTGAAAAACGTTTTTTATTATAAGAAAAACCAGTGGCTTACCGTTTTTTTTTAAGAAATACTCAGTTCAAAGCCCGCATGAACGCCAATGGCGAATGTAAAAGTTTAAATTGTGTATCGGAAAATGGCTTTGGATGCACAGAAACTGCTTACCAATTTTCAGAAAAATATCTGCAGAGGTATTAAATGTATCGCAAAAAATAAGTTTTTTTCTTTTAACTTTACCACCCTGTAGTTCAAAATTTAAGAGAAGTAGGACATATGTTCATAGGAACTTCTTTGCCTCATTTAGTCCAAGGGACACGCCTCTGAATTTTTTCGCAATATTAAAAAAATACCCTGTATAATGGGATTCATGAGAAAATCATTAAATTCTTTATTTTTTTTTTGTATATTCGGCGATAATTATTTACTACTTTGTCCCATTTTTATAACTCTTTTTTTGTTAAAAAGGGGTACCTCAAGAGTGGTATATTTGGCTCAAGATCTGATACTGGGATCTATGTAAAAATCTGCAAATTTGCACGATTTTGGAATCGGTTTTTTTTTTCATTACTTTTATAACTAGTTTTTTTATTATAAATACCTTAAAAAAGTGCTTACATAATTTTTAAAGTAAAATAATATATTAAATAACTGAGATACAGGGATAGGTCAAAAACGCACCATTTTGGTAACTCGCGATTATTTAAAAAACAAAAAACAAATGATAAATAGTTCTGAAATTGTAATAGAATGCTGAGAAACATTGACCATTTAACCAGTTGTATAACTCTTATAATAACTGATGTAGCAATACGTGCAGCACCAATCTTGGACAAAGTGTATAATTTTTTTTTAATACCGGATATCCAAATGTAGTTGTTTATCGTACAGAAAGTTTTTTCATTTAATTTATTATTACCAGCCCTGAAATATTAATCAAGGCTCTCTGCGTCCCAAAATTGCAATTAAACTTTTTATTTGCCTAATAAAAAAATCGAAACAGATGTGTTAAGCCTCATTGTAGGTAATTACGTATATCTGCATACAGAACCGTTTTAGATAAAGAAATTAAAAAAAAATATTTAGGACAAATTAGTGTAAAATAAATTAAAATTAAGACAGTCTACAGAATAAGCCGAACTTGTAAGTGGCTCACTCTATATATTTCCAGTCGCTATTACCTCCATCGTCTCACATAACCGATCACTATGAAGCTGGAGTAAATCTAAATTCTGGCTTCATAATAATTTGAAAATGAACCTCATAAAAATATAAGAGAACGCAATCGATATTTTTAATTTAGTTAAGATACTTAATCCCTTTCCTTGGGTAGACGAGTAACATCCGTGAAATTACATTAGAGGGCCTGGCGATGGAATTTCTAATATTTCCTCCTTTAACAATCGAATCCTTGGATGTAGTGAAATTTCTTGATATTCGTTATTTCACAAAATTAGTAACTATTATCAACAATAATATAAGGGATGTTAATCGACTTACCAATTTTATGGTTGTTTTCTCCAAATTTCCTTATTTTACATTAGAGGGCCTGGCGATGGAATTTCTAATACTTTCCCCTTTAACAGTCGAATCCTTGGATGAGTGAAGTTTCTTTATATTCGTTATTTCACAAAATTCTATGGTCGTTTTCTCCAAATTTCCTTATTTTCAATGAAGTTGTTCAATATACCCATTAAACTGAATTTATTGATGACGCAGATAACCGTATAGTACTTCTAGTCAATACTTGGCGAAAAAATAAATTATACAAAAATGACTCGTGCTCACTAGATTGCTATTATCTCGCCTAGACATTATATTTCAATATTTTTTATAGCTATTTTAATATGTAATAGAAACAATTTTTTTTAAAGCCTAGCAAGCTTTACTTGAAACTACAATCTGATCGCTAACGATCAATGAGTAATTTTAATCTAACTTATTTTACTAATTTCACATTTTTGAACACTTTTTTGGGGTTGATGTATCCAGTGCTTGTTTTCATATTTCCCTTACTGCTTCGTCGCTGTAACCATTAATTCCAATATGATTATCATAATACGTTTTACATATACCCCAAATGTGTTTGATGGGGTTAAACTGACAATGGTACGGTGGAAGCCATAACACATCATATCCATAACTATGTATGACTTGATTTACCATATAAATTTGTGGTGGTTCATGCCGTTTGGCTAAAGTTAACAACTCAGATTTAAGGCCGTATTGTGGAAATGCAACATTTTCGTTACGTAGCCATTCTTGTATTTTGGCTACAGTCCAATTCTGTCTTGGCGGTTTGTTTAAAAGTTCTGTGTGATAGCTCGCATTATCTAACACTATAACAGACGGTTCACTTAAATTTGGTAATAGTTTTTCATTTAACCATTTGATAAACATATCCGAGTTTATGTTATCGTGGTAGTCTTTTGATTTAGAGCAAAATATTAATCCTGCATCATCCACAAATCCATTCTTCCCACCTGCGTGCAAGATTATGTATCGCTTTCCCTCACCACTAGTATGTTTTATTGATTTTATATTTTCATCTTGCCATATTCTGTTCGTCCCACCTTTGGAAAATATCTAGATTTCATCCAAATATATAAACGAAGCTCCATTCTCTTTTAAACGAGTGTATTCTCTTAAAAAATGTATTACTTTGGTGAAGAACATTATTTTTTTCACATAAAGCTTTTCTATTATCTTCTTTCTTAAATTTGAAACCTATTTGCTTAAGCAACTTCCAAAGACTTGTTCTGCCAAATTCACCAATTTGTATTTCTCTTAAGTTAGCCAGCAATGTGTCTAAGTTGACATGTTCCATTTTCGCACGCATTTCATGCAGCATATCACGAATACGAAATTTTGGCCCACGAGATATATCCGACGTTTTCAGTTTTTTGTGAGGTGTGTATTTTTTCTTTTTTTTTGCTCTCCGCTTTTGACGTTTTTCAAAACATATTTTAATTTTGAATTACTAATACCGAGAGCTATACAGACGCGTTCATGCACACTCACTACTGTAGTGGGATTCTGTTTGCTATCGACTCACTCGATATCGACTCACTCGATATCGACTCACTCGATGTCGAGTTACAACACTATAGGTATCGTCTCGACGGAAACCGAGATTTTCGAGTTGGGCGATACCTAAGGTAAACACATGTATTGTGTGGGCAGGTATATCGTTTTAACTTGATTCAGATTTATATAAAATTATGTAGTTCAAATAAAAGCTTTTTATCTTTTACGTGTAATATTTTAAATATAATAAAAACATATATTCAAATAAAATTAAACTTCACAAAATACAATTATTTTGTTACATTAGGTATTTATGTTTTTTGTTTTAACTTTTTATGTTTGGGATGATATTTATTCCGAAGATATAGGTAATTTTGTCGGTGAATCTGACAATTTTTTTTAATTCTTTACTTTCTTTTACATAAATCTTCCGTTTCGTTTTCTTACTCTTTAAAAAAAATGGGCAATTAAATTTATTTGTATAAATATATCAATGCTTTGGCAACGACAGCCTAAAATCGCCATTTGCAATTAGAATTTGATGCAAGAAAAAAATAAAAATTTTGAAGAATGAAGAAAGTTTAATAAAAGATGGGTATTATTCCAACCACGGAAACACTGTCTAGATCACGTTTAGACCTAACTATCCTTCCACGATGGTCTAGACCGAGGCCTAAACAGAAGGTGAGTTCGGGCTACGCATTTGCCGTGTTTTCGTCGTCAAAAATATTTTAAAATTAGAGAAACACGTTTCATAAGCGGTTGATATGACGCTGCACATCTCTAGTCTTCATTCGCTGCACAATCATTTTTGTTTAAGATTTGTTTTCTCAACCTCGCCCTCTCGAACCTGTCAAAAAAATTGAATGACATTTGGTTGACACACAGAAGGTTATGTGTATTATTTTGCTTAATATTTTTTAATAGGTCTTGATTTGAATTGATTTGTAGAGTTAATTAGAGTTTATATAAGTACCCTTCTGTAAGTGGTTTTGACAATTTTACGGCGGAAAAACCTACAACTTGTATAATTTTAAGTCATCGGCTTATTATTTACAAGAGCACATTATCACACTCATGTTCTTAGCTGCATTACAAAAAATGGACTTTACTCAACAATTACACTATTCATTGATGAGAGATTAAATTATTAGAAAAGTTCAACCTGAATAAATAGAATAAACGCACCTTTCCAACCACATATGAAAATTATTTACAACTTTCGTTGCAGTTTTAATGACAAAACTTTCATCTGCTTTGAATAATAACTGTGCTAAAACTATATATTTATGTTATACCTATTCCTTACTGGTGGATTTTCATCAATAAAATAATTTAAGTGTACGTGTAGGTAGGTACCTCCATGAATAATGTTATTTTGTCTAAGGTTATATTAAACTATAACTTAACGAACCAACCTTATTACAGTAAAACCTTAAATAATTATTAAATAAATAAATAAACATATATCCTAAATGCTAAAAACAGATTTGACAGAGGTTCAAGGTCAATTTTATGCTTTTTATGTTGCGTTTTTAAAGTACGTCGTTTTACTTTATTTCCTCGATACCGCTCTTTTTTCTTCGTTTGCTAAATAGATATGATTTGCATTGCAATATTTAACAAAAACAACTACCTAGATATGTTAA